CCTACACCACGGTGTACGACGACCCCGGTGATGACCTGCAGTACGACGACGCTGAGGATGACATCGACCTGCCTGAGCTCGACGCGGACATGCATGCCGACCCTGAGCACCGCTGGGACATCGCGACGATGACGGTGAAGGAGGCATTGGCGAGCTGGAAGGGTAAGGCGGTGAAGGCCGCCATGGACGAGGAGATCCGCAGTCTAAGCGGCATGGGCACCTGGGAACTGGTCGAACGCCCACGTGGACTGAACATAATGAAGAACCGGTGGGTCCTGATGACCAAGTACCACGTCGACGACACGGTCGCCCGGGAGAAGGCGAGGCTGGTCGTGAAGGGCTTCACGCAGGTGTATGGCGCCGACTACGACGAGACGTACGCGCCGGTGAGCAGCTACGTCACGCTGAGGATCTTCCTCAGCATTGTCGCCGTCCTCGACCTCAACCTGATGCAGCTCGACATGAAGAACGCCTTCCTGCAGAGCAAGCTCGACTGGGTGCTGTACATGTACCAGCCGGACTACTACAGCGACGAAACGGGCCGGGTGTGCAAGCTGCTGAAGAGCCTGTACGGGTTGAAGCAATCGCCACTTCTGTGGTACAAGACGCTCAACGACGTGCTGGTCGGCGCCGGCTGGAAGAAGAGCCAAGGCGACGAGGCTCTCTACTTCAAGGTTGGCGACGACGAAGTCGCCTGCTAGGTGCTGGTCTACGTTGACGACCTGCTCGCCGCCAGCAGCAGCGCCGCGATGTCGAAGGTGCTGAAGGAGCTGAAGGAGTTGTTGGAGGCCGCCTTCGAGTTGCGCGAGATCTCGCCGGTGGAGAAGTACCTCGGGCTGGAGATCGTACGCGACAGGTCAGCGAGAAAGTTGTGGCTGCACCAGCATAACTACGCCGACAAGGCGGAGGCGGTTCATTGACGAGGAGCAGACCGGGCGTACCCCGAAAACGCCGATCTCCGTCGACGCCTACACCGAGCTGACGTTCGATGACGAGGAGGCACAGGAGCGCCAGGAGGAGGAGTACCGACAAAAGGTCGACTCGCTGCAGTTCGCGGCGACAACGACGAGGCCGGACATCGCCTTCGCCTGCAGCAAGCTGGGGAGTGGCCTCACGGTGAGGAGCGACCAGCACTGGCGCGAGGTCGATCGCTGCCTCGCCTACCTCGCCAACACTCGTGATACCGATACCGCCCTGGAGTTCGGCGGTGGACCAGAGACGCTGGAGCTGGTCGGCTACGCCGACGCCGGCGACAAGCAGAACCGGACGAGCACGGGTGGCTACGTGTTCGTCTACGGAGGGGCCGCAACCTCCTAGTCGCGCCAGCGCATGAAGTGCGCGACATTGTTATCGACCGAATCAGAGTATGTGGCGGCAACCGAAGCCGGCAAGGAGGGACGCCGACTTCGCTTCCTCCTTGCAGAGTTCCAGCTGTTGGACGCCGGGAAGCCGACCGTCTTGCGGGTGGACAACAAGTCAGCCATCACGGTCGTCGAGGGCCTGGGGCTGCAGGGCAACCTCAAGCACATGGAGCGGTGATATGCCCGGCTGCAGCACATGGTGAAGCGCAGGAAGTTTGCGCTGAAGTACATCCTGACCACCGAGCAGCCGGCCGACTTCCTGACGAAGGCGCTGCACTTTTCGACCTTCAACCGGTTCTCCGTCGCAATCGGCCAAGTGCGCCTGGCCAACGTCGGCGATGGTGACAATGAGGTGCAGCAGTAGGTGCCATGCCCTCTTGCATGGCTGGTGCGGTGACCGGCATGCAGTGTGTTGTGTGCACGCCGACGACGGCGAGCTATTCTTCAAGTAGTGCTACCGTGTGGGATGGAGGCCCAAGCGTGAACTCGACAGGGGAGTGTCAACGGGAGTTGTGTGTTGGCCCCGTCCTCGCTTGGGCGGAGCCGACTTCGTGTTTGGGTGTACGGGAGGTACAGCCGACTTGCAGCAGTGGGCAACACCAACCTGGGCGAGCTGGTCGATAGGTTTGGTCGGTCTGCACGGGGCCACTGCAATGTCGCCGACTTTGGGAAGCCGGCGGCCGACTTCAACTGGTGGCCGACGATGGGGCTCGTCGACCTGGAAGTCGGCGCCGACTTAGGAGGGCGTCGACTTCAGGAGATCGACCTGGAAGTCGGCGCCGACCTGGGGAGGAGCCAACTTGGTGAAGTCGGCTGGTGATGGTCGTCGACTTGGGTGGTCGACGAGCACGTACAACTGCTGGTCGACACCGACCTGGTGGTCAAGTCGGCGCCGACCTGGGAGGGTTTCTAGGTTGACCAAGTAACCAGGGCGACGAAGTCAGCGGAGGAGCGCGACAGTCGCCCAGGTGGTTCTGGCGAAGCCGACCTCGGTGGTGGTATCTCGAGGTCGACGTGGCTGATTAGGTGCAGTTGATAGCACGTGGACGACCTGGTGCTCTCCGCTGTACGGGTTATGCGGCACAGCACGCCAATCATCAGCGTGCTGCTGCGAAGCGGGTGCGCTACTGTCTTGCGTGTGCAACGCTGTGCAGCCGACTTGCTGCGATGTTGGCACGCCGTCGACTTGCAGCGTTGGCAGGCCGCGACTTTGCACTGCTGGAGCGCGGTCGACCGTGCTGCGCTGGCAGTCGACCTGCATGCTTGCTAGCTCTGATGTAGTCAACCTTGCCAATGTTGTTGCTATCATTCTGAACCTTTGTTGCCAATTTTTGCTGGTGAAACTCTTGCCAATTCTCCCGGTGAATGTGTGCGTAGAGAGAAGACAAGCAAACGACTAAAGAACGAGCGCGGAGATCACCCCTAACCCCTGCCTACCCCGTAGACTAGCTCTCGTTGCTAGAGTTATCTTCGCACACACCACACCCTAGCACATCACCCACACCACACCACACCATACCACACCACACTACACCGCAGCACATCACCCCACACCACCCCACACCACACCACAACACATCACCCCAGATCACCCCGCACCAACCCACACCACCCCACACCACCCCACACCACACCACACCACACCACACCACCCCACACCACACCACACCACACACACCACCCCACCCCCATACCACACCACACACTCACCCCGCATGCTGCACAGAGTGCTGCACTGATGGCACGGGCGGGCCGTGGGAGAGGCAGAAGAGAGCACGCAGTGGGGGGAGGGGCAGGCGGAAGGGAGCGAAGTGGAGGATAGAGGAGGGTGGGGCGAGGAAGAGGAGGGGGGAGCGGAGGAGGAGGGGAGGCAGCGGAAGTCGAAGAGAAAGCAGCAGTTGGCAGAGCAGGCGGCGTGGAGGAATCGACCACAGGGGCTGAACGCTGCTGACGTCACCTGAGGGGTGCGTGGGGGGGTTGGAGAAGGGTATGGGGTGCATGGGGAGGTGGATGGAGTGGTGGGGTAGTGGGTATGGATGAAGTGGTGGGGTGGGGAGTGAGCAGAGAAAGCCCTAGGAGGGGAGGCATCTGCCTAGGATCGCAAGCCATCCCCTCCCTCTACCTCTCGTAACCATCTCTCACTTCCCACCCCTCCCTCTCACCTCACAGCTGCCTCACAAACACAGGCGAGCCACGGCCTTGTGCATGCGTGGGTCAAAGAGAGCCACGCTGCCATCTGTTCTACCCACGTTCCCATCTTCTGATCTCACTCCATTCCCCTGTCGCCTTTGCTCCCCCTCACCTCGCAATTTCTCCCCAGGGAGAAACGCGTTACAGCCTTGTGCATGCGCGTGTCAAAGAGCGCCACGCCGCCATCCCCTCCACCTGCAGGCGGATAGGGGGAGAGAGAGAGGGAGGGAGGGCAGAATCATGCGAAGCGGGGATGAGATGTGTGGGTGAAATGGAAGCAGCATAGTCGGTGGTGGCATGGGCTGTGGTGTGGGACAGGCGAGTCGTTGCCTTATGCATGCGCGATTCAAAGACAACACCATCCCCATCACCTGCTCTTGGGCGGTGGGAGAGGGATGGGAAGAGGGATGGGGAGAGGGATGGGGAGAGGGAAAGGGAGAGGGGGAAGAGAATCAAGTGGAAAGGAGAGGTACACAGTGTGGGGAAGGCATGTCGGCACGGGACAAGTAGGGGGAATGGGTGGCATGTGTGGTGGCATGAGTGGTGGCATGTGTGGTGGCATGTGATGTGTGGCATGTGATGTGTGGCATGTGATGTGTGGCATGTGATGTGTGGCATGTGATGTGTGGCATGTGATGTGTGGCATGTGATGTGTGGCATGTGATGTGTGGCATGTGATGTGTGGCATGTGATGTGTGGCATGTGATGTGTGGCATGTGATGTGTGGCATGGTTGGGAGAGTGCATTGACAAGAAGATGGGAGCAAGCCAATGGAGCTTGGGATTGAAATCCTCGCATGTCTTCCTTTCCTTCCTTGTGGAATGTAGAGGGCTGGAAGGGAAGCAGTGGACTGATCGAAGAAAGCCCACCAGTACAAGCAAGTCCAATCGCTAATATTAGAGGAGCAAGGGAGAGGAGGGGGGTTAGATGAGACAGAGAGGGAGAGAGGAGCGCACCAGCAATAATGGTGCGATGGTCGGTGGGTTTGGCAGCAACACATGTGACGAACTGCATCGCGTGGTGGAGGGAAGGGACATGGCGTATAGAACAGGGCATAAGGAATGAGTCCCTTATGGCATAAGGGGTGGGGTTGGCGGCCACACATGTGACGAACTGGATTGCGTGGGGCAGGGAAGGGGAGAGCATGGCGTAGTAAGTTGAGATGAGTTATGAGGCATGGCGCCTCAAAACTCATTGATGGTACTTTCGACAATTCTCAAAAAATGAGATCAGTTTTGAGGCGCCTCAAAACTGATCTCAATGCACGAAGAGAGCATGGCGTATGGATGGGATGGCGTAGGCATAAGTGACATGCAAGTGCATGAATCCCTCCTGACAGAGAGTTGGTGGGGTTTGCGGCAACACATGGCACGAGGAAACGAGGATGTTCTTACAGAGGAGAAGGCAAGCATGTGAAACACAGAGGATCGCACACTGTGTTTCTGCGAATTACTTCTGCGAATTCCTCAAAATCGTCCTGCAGTTCCAAGACCGCTCTTCACTTGCACTTACAGAGGAAAAGGCAGGCATGTGGAACACAGAGGGTCCCGCACTGGGAGCAGAGGCACCACCAGGAGTGGCAGAAGCAGCAGGAGATGCAGCGAGTGCAGCGGAGGTAGAGGAGGAGGAGGGGCGGGAGGTATCCCAGAGGACAACGGTGGAGGGTGCAGTGCCGGTGGTATCAGAGCCGCACACAAGCCAGCGGTCGTCTGCGAAGCACAGCGCATCCATTGCCATGCGCACTCGCACCCGGGGAGAGTGCCCTGCTGCCCTGCTGGGGTTGGGGAAGCACAAGGATGATGTGATGCTCCATGCAGTGTCCGCAAAGCACAACAGAATGCATCCAGCCAGTGCCCTCGCACACGAGCAAAATGCACTCACACACGAGCAAAATACACTCGCACACGAGCAAAATGCACTCGCACACGAGCAAAATGCCCTCGCACACGAGAAAAATGCCCTCGCACACGAGCGCTCGGCTCTGCTGCCCTCCCTGCCCTGCTGGGATAGGCGGCACATGGATGATGTGACGTGATGTTCCATGCAGTGACACGGGCATGCCCCACTGCCCTCGCTGCCCTGATGGGGGTTGGTTGGTTGGGGAGTGAAAGATATCACATGTGGGGTATGGTATGCCCGTGTGCGAGTGTGCATGGCCGTTGCAATGTAAGGCGAATCACAGTGCCTCCGTTGCCATGCACAGTTGCACGCCGCAGGTAGTATCAGAGCAGCGTGCCCTGCTGCACTCCCTGCCATGCTGTGGGGGCACATGTGACGTACCGAGCAGCATGCATCTTGCTGGTGTGAGAAAATGAGATTAGTTGAGTGGGATGGACAAAATTTTGAGAATTCTCAATAGTCAATCCAGCCTGACCTACTACCTCCCCTGCCCTGCTGGCGGTGGGTGGGCGGATGGATGATGTGTCATGCTGCATGACTCATGCAGCATAAAGCATGCTGGTGCGAGAGTGGTTGAGTTGGTGGATGGGTTCAGGCTTTTATAATATGTAGTGTAGGTCAAGAATTCTTAGCCCATAGATGTGACAGATCGAACGCAACCATACGATTTTGCGGTTGCAAAGAAATCGCCAACACACTAGCGGCAAGAGCAGCACGCTGATCATGGCATCACAGAATAACAAGCCGGCGGCACAGCACTTGGACCAAAGCACTTGGACGGCACGGCACAGCACTTGGACCACAGCACCTGGACGGCACAGCACCTGGACGGCACAGTACCTGGACGGCACAGCACCTGGGTGGCAGAGTGAAGGACGGGCAAAGGTGGGCGAGGGGCTTGGCTGAGCGCACGTCCCACAGGATGACCCGTGGGTCACTGCTGGCACCACTGGTGGCTGCTAGGTCTGATGTGGAGAGCGGGGTAAGGGGCGGGGTGAGGGTGGCAGCAGTAGAAAGGGCTGAGCGCACGTCCCACAGGATGAACCGTGGGTCGGCACTTGCGCCACTGGTGGCTGTTAGGTCTGATGTAGAGAGCGGGTCGGGGTGGAAAGAGATGGAGAGCCTTTGTGAGTGGTGAGGGGCTTGGCTGAGCGCACGTCCCACAGGATGACCGTGGGTCACCACCACTGGCACCGCTTGTGGCTGCTAGGTCTGATGTGGAGAGTGGGGCAGGGTGGGGAGAGATGGAGAGAGGTGGTGAGAGATGGGGAGCGATGGGGAGCGTGGATGAGAGACATCCCACAAAATGACCCGTGGGTCACTGCTGAGACTACTGGGGATGAGGTCTGATGTGCGGAGCAACATGGGGAGAGAGAGGGAGGTGATGATGGTGACGAGGTTGGGGTGAAAGGACCTTGCTTTCATCACCTCACCACATCATTTCAGCCCCACAGCTCACCCAGCTCACAGCACCTTCTGAGGCGCCTCAAAAGAACTCACAGAACTCACTCTCACATAAGCCCCATAACTCACATAAGTCACCGCCCCTCATGCGTTGCTTGCCATCCCCCGGTTGTCACTATGCCCGAAAATCTAGTTTTGAGGCGCCTCGAAACAAGAAGCCCCATAACTCACATAACTCACCGCCCCTCATGCATTGTTTGCCATCACCCGGTAGTGACTATGCCCGGAATTTCCAAGGCCTGCTACAGATGACTCACGTGACACCTGCCGGTTGACTGCAAGAGCACAGATGTTGTCACGATGATAAGGAATCGATGGCTTATTGCTGCTGCTGCCATCGCCACTGCCGGTTCTCAAACCACCATCCACATGTGCATGGATGCCACTGCCTCTGCTGCTGCTGGTACCGTCAGCTGCTCTTGCACTGGTGGCAGCAGCGGCATCAGCATGTGATGGTGATGCTATGGCTCCAGGGCCACATGAGTGCAGCAACGATGCTGACGCGCTGTCCCACACCTGGAGGGAATGGTTGCAGTGAGGTGGGAGCAAAGAGAGGTTGATGGACGGGGGTTTGTAGCGTACATGCATGGGGTTGAATGCGGAGAAGCAAGAGTGGGATTCTTGGACGTGATGTTGTGCAGGCGTAAGCTCACTTGGTTGGAAGTGCACCAAGATTGCAGGGTGTTTTTGAGAATTCTTAAAACGCCCTGCAACATCATGGTGCAGGCGTAAGCTTAGTTGGACGTGGTCCAAGACTGGACTGTTTGAAGTGGGAGTGGCATTGTCAATACCCATAACAAGGGTATGGCAATGAAGGGCACTGCATGGCATGGCATGGAGTGGCATGGCATGGCATGGAATGGCATGAGATGGCATGGAATGGCATGAAATGGGATGAAATGGCATGGCATGGCATGGCATGGCATGGCATGGCATGGCATGGCCTGGAATGGCAGAGATAGGCAAGTCCCCTCTCACCTTGAGAGTAGAGCCCCCACAGGAGAGGATGACGTCACCATCCATGGCATACTCCACCGCCTGGATCTGATGCCGTGGTGTAATGCGGTGGGAAGCGGTAAGGTGGTGTGGGGATGTGTTGTGATGGGGTTAGGAGTTACAGCACGTGGAACGGGAAATGGGGGAGGGACGGATGGGAGAGAGGATGACGTCACCATCCATGGCATACTCCACCATCTGGATCTATCTGCCGTGGTGTAATGCGGTGGGGTGGGGTGGTGTGGTGGTGTGGTTTGGGTTGAGGTGGCGTGAATGGGGATGGCAGTTATGGCACGAAGGAAGGGAAACTTGTGGCTTGGGTTGTGGGGGGGGGGGGCGATGGGTTAGCAACGCATCGAACTCCCCATACCTGGCAGGCATGGCCTTGCAGCGGGCGGTGGGAGCCGGAGGCGAGGTCAAAGAGAAGCAACTCGTTGGGTGCCTGGTGAGGTGGTGAGGCAGGAGGCATGGGGGAAAGGGGGGGGGGGAGGGGCCAGCGAGGACAGAAAGGAGGCTCATAGGGAGCCGGAGGAGAGGCCAAAGAGCAATAGCTCGTTGGGTGCCTGGTGGGGGCAGGGGGAACAGACGAGGGTCGTCTATGTGATCATATGTGTGACGGTCTTTGCATAAGGACGCACGTGGAAAAGGACCATGTCATGATCTGCAATCGTTATTGCTGGTCATTTGTATTCAACTCGCTCCCAGTAAACGAGAATAAGATAACAAGACACAAAAAATATAGTATAGAGAGGCAACTGAACGGCGTGGAAGGCGAGGGATGGGAGGAAAGGGAGGGGATGGGACGGATGGGAGGGAATGCAAAGACGGCGCTCCATGTTGCAGCCAGTAGCGAGAGGATAGGCGCATCTCATTGCAGCCAATGACGAGCTGAGGCCGGATCCCAAGGTGGAAACGAGTTGACTTTTGAGCCGACTCAAAGGTCAACAAAGTGAATGTGAGGTCAGCACAGAACTGTGTTGCAAGGAATGTCATGCGAGTCGCATGTGAGGCGCACCACTCACCTCGTTGCAGCCAATGACGAGCTGAGGGAGGCCCCTGGGGTGGAAGCGCGCATCTAGGACCTTCTGCACTGCCAGCTGGCGACAGGTTGCATGCATGACATGGCATGTGAGATGACACGATAGCATGTGAGATGACACGATAGCATGTGAGATGACACGATAGCATGTGAGATGACACGATAGCATGTGAGATGACACGATAGCATGTGAGATGACATGACACGATAGCATGTGAGATGACACGATAGCATGTGAGATGACACGATCGCATGTGAGATGACACGATAGCATGTGAGATGACACGATAGCATGTGAGGTGACACGATAGCATGTGAGATGACACGATAGCATGTGAGATGACACGATAGCATGTGAGATGACACGATAGCATGTGAGATGACACGATAGCATGTGAGATGACATGACACGATAGCATGTGAGATGACACGATAGCATGTGAGATGACACGATAGCATGTGAGATGACACGATAGCATGTAAGATGACAGGATAGCATGTGAGATGACACGATAGCATGTGAGATGACACGATAGCATGTGAGATGACACGATAGCATGTGAGATGACACGATAGCATGTGAGATGACATGACACGATAGCATGTGAGATGACACGATAGCATGTGAGATGACACGATAGCATGTGAGATGACACGATAGCATGTGAGATGACACGATAGCATGTGAGATGGCACGATAGCTTGTGAGATGACACGCTAGCATGTGAGATGACACGATAGCATGTGAGATGACACGATAGCTTGTGAGATGACACGATAGCTTGTGAGATGACACGATGGCTTGTGAGATGACACGATAGCTTGTGAGATGACACGATGGCGCACCACACAACATGATCCTCCAGTGCATTACACAACGCCACACCGTGCCGCCTCAAAAGTCGTCTCTTACCCCGCAGTTTGTAACCAGGCGCCTCAAAACTAGCCCCTTCTCACATGTCATCGCCATCCTGCCACTGCAATTCATCATCCTATCACCCCATCATCACATCATCTCACCATCCCACCTCAGCCCATCATCTCACATCATCACTGTGGGTGCGTCAGCAGCATGCAACCATCCCACCATCCCCTCATCATCTCACATTGCTGATGTTCGTGGTGGGCACATCAGCAGCATGGGACCATCCCACCGTCCCACCATGCCACCAGCCCACCACAGCCTATCATTCCACCAACACACCATCATCTCACGTCGCTGATGTTTGTGGTGGGCGCGTCAGCAGCATGGGAGGTGTAACTTGCCCAGCTGGTATGTCATGGCACTCTCACACCATGGGTGAATGATCCCACCCCACATGCCATCCCATCATGCCCTTCTCATATGCCATCCACCATCCCACCATCCCACCACCTCCCCATCTTCATATCTCCCAATCATCTCACATCGCTGATGTTGGTGGTGGGCGCATCAGCAGCATGGGAGGTGTAACTCGCCCAAGTAGGCCGCCACATGTCAGCTCGTGATTGGCAGAGAACCGACCCCAGGCCTCGATGTGGGTTGTCTAGTGATCCCCATCCTGCCAGATCGGTGCAGCACCGCACAGCACAGCTAATCACCGCACAGCACCGTACTCATAGTATGGGACTGACTGATGGGATATTCTGAGAAGCCTAACAGCAGCTTACACGTACAATTGCAGCTTATTCTCATCCTTCCATGCCTTACAATGGCAAGCCCACCATTCCCAACCCTCCACGCCCCACTCACCCTACCCAAACACTACACCCCACACGCATCCTACTCCACACCCACCCAACCCCACCCTGCCCTACCCTGCCCTCCCCGACCCTGCCCATCCCCTCTCTGCCCAACCCCACCCTGCCCTTTCCCACCCTGCCCTTTCCCACCCTGCCCTTTCCCACCCTGCCCTTTCCCACCCACCCTGCCGTATCCCACCCTGCCGTATCCCACCCTGCCGTATCCCACCCTGCCGTATCCCACCCTGCCATATCCCACCCTGCCATATCCCACCCTGCCATATCCCACCCTGCCATATCCCACCTGTCCACACAGCAGCATAGCTCTGAGCGCCCTTAGCTCGCGTCCACATCCCTCTGCTGCCTCCCCCTCCGCCATCCCCACAGCCTGCCTGTCGTCTGTACCCCCGCCCACACTCCCTTGCCCTCAATGCTCCACTCACACCCGCATCCCCTCCCACCACGGCCCCCACGGCACTGCTGTGCACGGCCCTTGGCGTATCTCTAGAGCCCATTTGCCGGGCATGGCCGGGTGGAGAGCCCATCTGACCCCGTGAATTCTCGGCACAACCGGCAATGTGCTCTGCCTCCTGCTCCCTCGAACCCCCTTTCTTCGTCTCTCCCCCAACAACCTCCCTCCCTCTGTTCCCCGTTCCCTTCCCCCGGTGCTGCTTCACCTCCTCCTCACTCTCGTCCTCAACCTCCTCCTCCTCCTCCTCCTCTTCCTCTTCCTCCTCTTCCTGTTTCTCATCCTCTCCCATCGCAGCCTTCCTGCTCAAACCGCACCCAGCCATCTCCGCACCTCCTCGCCTGCCACTCCCCCCACCCCCACACACCTCCCTGGAACCCCCATCGCTGCTCCCCCCTTTAAAGTCACGCCAGTGATAGTCAACACTGCAAACCACCCACGCCTCTAGTGTAGCCTCTGGCCCCTGTCTCTGTCCCTTTGGGACGTCCCCTAACTCAAAAGTCCCCACCGCCATACCCTCTGCCTCCTGACTCTCTCCCTGTCGCCTCCCCCCCACCCCACGCTCCTCAACCCTGCGATGAGAGCACTGGCGGGGAGCGAAAGGGGGCTTCCATGGGGGCATGAACTCATGGCTTCTCATGCCACTTGTCTGCTTCTCACTATCCCCTGCCCGACCATCCCTCTTCCCTTCTCTATTCTGCCCCTCCTGTCTCCCCTTACCCTCTTGCCCCAACTTCCCCACACTCTGCTGCTCCTCACTCCCCTTACCATCTTGGTCCTCCTCCCCTCTGCCCCCTTCCTCCCTCCTCCCCTTGCCCCCATCTTCCCGGCCCCTATACCCTTGACCCAAGCTCTGGTTATCTCTTCTCTCCCCGCTGCCTCCCTGCAGCAGCAGCAGGTGGCGCTGCAGCAACACGAGGCTGGCAAGGGGGGGACACAACAAATGTGGGGAAAGGGAATCCGGAAGGGAATGTGAGAGGAGAACATGGGTATAACTGGATAGGGCACGAATCACTGTGCTCTATTTCCCGGCCCCATCACCCAGCCCGCCCCTCTACCAGCCACCCTGTAGCCATGCGACGCTGCAGTGTGCCATGCGGCTTGGAGAGAAGGAAGGGCGCGCAGGGAAGGGAGGAAGGAGGAGACGAGAGAGATGGCATGGATGGATGAAGGTCTAAGAAAATTGGCTGAGCTCATCTGATCTGATCAACAGTGAAGGCTTCATCTGATGTCTCACGCAGTCGTGTTTTGAGTCGACTCAACACACCCATCAGATGTCACATGCAGCCCACCTGTTGAAGTGATTCACGAGAGCACTGCACTGCTGCTGCACCAAGCGCCCCACCGCCGCGCCCACGCATGAGCCTTCAAACGACGGCGGTGAATGCTTTATCTTTTCGGCGACTCAAGTGCACCCCACCCACCCACCCACCTGTTGAAGTGGTTCACGAGAGCGCAGTGCTGCTGCTGCACCATGCGCCCCACCTCTTGCGCCTCTTCTGCCTCCCCCCCTACTGCTGCTTCCACTGCCCTCCGCTTTTTCGTAGGAGGCTGGAGGACAGAGGGGGGTGTGGGGGAGAAAGGGATAGGAGGATGGGGAGTGAAGGGAGAGGGAAAAATAGCAGAGATAGGGGCGAAACGGGAGGTAAGTTGAACAGGCTCACAAAAATGTTATAGGTGCCATGCCATTGCAGAATTTTCTGTATCTTTTGAAGCTCATCGCACAGAAAGGTCTTCTTTTTACGATTGACTCTCGGAAAGGCAAGAAGAGGGGAAAGATGGGGAAACAGAGGAAGGAAGTCCAAAATGTGAAAACCTTGAACTCAAGATAAGTGACGGCTGTGGGATTTGAACCCACGCCTTTTTCAAGACTGGAGCCTAAATCCAGCGCCTTAGACCACTCGGCCAAACCGTCACGTTAGAAATCGTTTTCAAAACAATTTTACATTCGAATATTCAAAACACAAAGAGGGATGACGCGAAGTTTCGGCTCCCCACCTCATCTCACCTCTGTGTATGTCGCCAATCCTCCTCCCCGTCTCCTCCCAGCATATCCCTCTCCTCCCCTCCACTCTTCTCTCGCCTCCTCTCCTTCCCCATCCTCGTCCCCCTCCTCCCCATCTCTCTCCCCACTGCTTCGACACTCATCACTACCCATCCCCTCTGCTCCAACCCCTGCCCCTCTTCTCCTCCCTGCCCCCCTCCCCATCCCTCTGTCTCCCCCACTCCATCCAACTCTCCTCCTCCCTCCATCTCTCCCCGTCCCTGCTTCCCTCCCCCTCCCATCCCCATCTCCCCCCACATCCTCCTCCCCCTCCTCGTCCCCCAGCAATCCCCCTCCCTGCACCATCCCCTCACCCGCAATCCCCAGCCCCCCCTGGTGTTTAATGCGGTGGAAAGCGGTAACAGTGTACTGCACTATCCGCTGCATGGGAGTGCGTCTGAGCTCTAGAGGCAATCGCCGCCACTCCTGCTGCACCCACTGCCGCACCTCCCACGCGGCAAGGGTGGGCGTGGCTGGTGGAAGGGAGGAAAGCCACCGATACATGGGCAGCCACTTGGGGGAGATGGGCTGGGGCGAGGGGCAGGGGAGAGGGCGAAAGCGGGGAGAGAGAGGGACAAAGGGAAAAAGCGGGAGTGTGTAAGGAAGGGAGGGAAGGTTGGGCGTCAAATATGTGCAGTCGCCCCCACTCCTGCTGCACCCACTGCCGCACCTCCCAGGCAGAAAGAGTGTGTGTGCTTGGTGGGAGAGAGGCAAGCCTCTAATATATGGGCAGCCATTTGTGGGAGATGAACTGGGGAAAAGGGAACGGATGGTTGGGGGGGAGGAACGGGAAAGTGTAGGCAGCAAAGGGAAAATGTGTGAGTACGGAGGGGAAACAGGGGGGAAGAGCGGGGAAGAGGGGGGAAGACGGGGGGAAGAGGGGAAGACTGGGACAGGTGGAGAGTGTGAAAGCAGAGATGAGAAGCAGTCGCCCCCACTCTTGCTGCAGGCACTGCTGCACCCACGGCTGCACCTCCCATGCAGCAGGGGACGGCATTTTTGGGGGGAGGGAATCAATACATGCGCAGACACTTGGGGGAGATGGGGGGAATGGACACTTGGGGGAGATGGGGGGAATGGACACTTGGGGGGATGGGGGGAATGGACACTTGGGGGGATGGGGGGAATGGACACTTGGGGGGATGGGGGGAGTGGACACTTGGGGGAGATGGGGGGAGTGGACACTTGGGGGAGATGGGGGGAATGGACACTTGGGGGGATGGGGGGAGTGGACACTTGGGGGAGATGGGGGGAGTGGACACTTGGGGGAGATGGGGGGAGTGGACACTTGGGGGAGATGGGGGGAATGGACACTTGGGGGGATGGGGGGAGTGGACACTTGGGGGAGATGGGGGGAGTGGACACTTGGGGGAGATGGGGGGAGTGGACACTTGGGGGAGATGGGGGGAATGGACACTTGGGGGGATGGGGGGAGTGGACACTTGGGGGAGATGGGGGGAGTGGACACTTGGGGGAGATGGGGGGAGTGGACACTTGGGGGAGATGGGGGGAGTGGACACTTGGGGGAGATGGGGGGAGTGGACACTTGGGGGAGATGGGGGGAATGGACACTTGGGGGGATGGGGGGAGTGGACACTTGGGGGAGATGGGGGGAGTGGACACTTGGGGGAGATGG